ATATATACAGATTTTTGCAAAGACAAAAACGCAAAAACATTGGACATTGTAACAAGAAGTATATGAGGTATTACAAACAACATAAAGCATACTACAGAGAGTGACAAATAATAAACACACACGACGCTTTTGCACACCGCACGCTTGAAAAATACAAGGAATATGATATACAACACGTAGAAAATTAAAAATGCATTCTACAGTCCTAACGTTTGAAAAACCCGAATACGTGATGTAAGGAAGAGATAATGTATATATTACATATGGTGACCACCCTGTTGGCCCAGATTTATGCATTTTTCAATTCAATTACTGATCTGTATAACCTGTATCTTCCTCATAAACTTTCCTCTAAACTTTGAAAGGAGACAATACCGAAACTGTAAGAATCAAGCCTGTGCAGCATGTGAACTACTGGAAAACCAGAACAAGCCAACACACGCATAAAAAACAAACAAAACAAAAACAGCAAAAACAAAAACAAAAGAAACACAAATCCGGACCCTATCCGAAACATAGGGCTGGATGCTTGTGCTACTTCGGCTTTTGGTTTTTTTAAAGTCAAACCACAAACCAAGAATCCGAACCTTATCGAAACAGAGGGATGGACTTGTTTGTGTGGTTTCCCCCTTTTTGTCTGTGTTTGGTGTGTTTAACTTCTTTTTTGTGTGTTTGCTATTTGCTTGTTTTGGTGTCGGTTGGGTTGCTGCTGCTCCGCGGTTGTGCTTCTGGTCTGCCAAGCGGCAATTGCTCCCACACAGCGAGAATGGATATCATGTGGTCTTCCTGTCTGGTTGCGATTCACGAGCAAATTGCAACTTGCATCTAGTTTGGTATTCGCTGCAATCTCCATCTTGGAACCACAGCCCTGCAGGGAAGTCGTTCCTGCGATGCTAATTCCATGCAAATCTAAGCGTTGATCCTTTCAGGCTGTTCTTATCTGCTGTAACAATGTCAGGCATATGTATGCATGTCAACATACATTCATATCATAATGAGTCTGATGTGGCATGTGCACAAATCTGGCTTTCTTCATGTATGTGCCAATTTAGTCATAGAGACGTGCTTTCGCGTATGCGCATGTGAGCAAAACTGCCGATACTCCTCCAGACAGATAGGCAAGCACATACATAACGATATACATATGGAGGAATATGCAGCACACATTGAACATGATTACATAACAAAAAACCGTCAATATTACGCATCCCCCTATGACAGCGCTGATTCTACGTAGACATGATGATTTGCTCTTGTGTGTATACAGCAACGGATTCCACAAGTGCTGTCCGTATACAAAAGTGTATACTACATAAACAGCTTATTTACATGTTACCCCTCGTTCATGAACACCGTGAAGCCCTGACCCAATAGACTCGCGTAGACAAAAAAACAAAATTTAACCATTTAGATAAAAATTTGTCTACAGGTGGTACCTAAATTTTTCGTCGCCGTAGATAAATTTTGTAAATAAATTTTCGTGCCGTAGATAAATTTTATAGATAAATTTTCGGTCGCCGTAGATAAACTTTGTAGACAATTTTTGTCTACGTAAACAAACAAAGATTTAACTATGTAGATAAAAGTGGTCGAATTTAACTATGCAAACTTCGGGCAAACTCCGGGCAAACTTCGGTAAAATTTCTCGGGCAAACTTGATCGATCGCCACGAGAAAAACCATTTATGATGAACATTGTGGCAAAAAGTTACAGACAAACTCCGGGCGAACTCCGGGACAAAACTCCAGCAAATTACTTGCCCAACTTCGGGCAAACTTCGAACAAACTCCGGACAAGCATCGCCGAAGTTTTGTCGAAATTTCTTCAAAACTCCGGCATTCCAGGGCCACAAATTTATCTACGTATGTAAATTTTTCGTCCGTGTACATAAATTTTGTCGATAAATTTTCGCGTGGTAGATAAATTTTGTAGATAAATTTTCGGTCACCGTAGATAAATTTTGTAGATAGATTTTCGGTCTTTGTAGATAAGTTTTGTCGACAAATTCTTGTCTATGTATAGTTAAATCCGGGCCTTTTTAACTATGTAGACAAAAATTTGTCTGGGCGGGTCTATTGGGTGAGAGCCATTAGAGTCCTCAATATCGAACATCCAGGATTTGCGCCCTTGTTCCTGAACATCCGGTTTGCCCCTGACAATCCAAACCGGTTTTCGCTGAACCTTCTTCCGAGTAATGACAGTAAGCTCACTCCAACCTTGGCGTTGAAGTAGTTCAAGCACCTCTTCAGACTGCCAGTAACCCGGAATTCCTTGAATTTCAATGACAAGAGGTTTATGTCTCGTAGGATCTTCAGGCTTCTGGACAAAGCCGAGATCAGCACCATAGCCCTTGCGCAGAACGGCCTGCTGTCTTTCTCGAGAAAGATGCTCGATACGTTTCCGGTAGGATTCAGCCGATTCATCTTGCTCTTTGGGAACCCACAGAGGCACAACCTTTCTAGGCTTACCAACTGGTTCTTCTTGGACAGAACAGAAGATCCCACGCCTGCCACTGTTTGCAGTAAGCTTGTCAGCAACTTGAGTCGGAACTCTAACCCAGCCAACCAGCTGACTGCCCTTAGCTCCGAACTTCTGAAGCTCCCAGCGACCAATCTCTGACTTACCCACATCTGTCGGCGCGCAGCAGCAAGGCAAGCACGCGCAGCAGCACAGCAACAGGGTTAGGGCAGGGTGAAGACTCCTGCCCCATTGGGCACTGCAATGCTTCTGTCGATTCGCTTTCGTCTGGAGCTCTTGCCCATTGCCTGTTGGATCATCTTTTCTTTGATCACTCCTTTTGTCATCTGGGGAAATGACATCATTCTCTGGACTACTCAGCACTAGAACCTGGCCAAAGGTCCCGTCCCACGTCAGCCACGTGGAGGCGTAGTCAGAGAGACATGTTACCAAAACTTCCGAACGTGTTATATATGGCGCAGCGCGGCTAGGCCCCCCTCACCCCCCCACCCCATGGTATCCCCCCTTCCCCCCTGTGGTTCCCTGTGGTGTGGGGGTTCCCTTTTGCCCCTCCCCCCTGTGGTTGCGGTCGGCTCCGCGCTATTGCTGGTCGGGCGTCCGGTTGCGAAAAGTGTTGACCTTAGGATGTGATACAGTTCCACTGAACTCCGACCTGCCCTGAGCTCCAAAGCCAATGACAGTGATGAGTATTATGGTGATGATGTTGACGAAGATGGTGGTCATGATCCCCATGCACACTCTCCTCCGGTCCCTTGCTCAAGAGTCCCGAGTGACAATCATTCAAAAGCGTCCTCAAGCTTACTTGTAACGAACCCAACCGAAACTTGGCTTGGAATGACAACGGTCGATACAGTTTTTGCAAGAACATCACAAGCGATTTTCAACTACATAAAGCAATGAAGATGCGGTGCCGAAGCCCAGAGCAACATAAGAGCAGAGGTACACAATGCCACATCAACGTCGATGTGCGCAACATCATTGCCATCATTCTCATCTGCGTGTCGAAGGGGAGGGGAAGGGGAAGGGGCCTTGGGGTTCCCTGTGTTGTGGGTTATCCTTCCCTGTTCCGTGTGTTTTGGGTTGTCCCTCCCGCCCCCCACCGCGAGAGGCCTGACTTGGGCGGGGGGCCAGTCCGTAAGCTTGAGGGGGGGGGGGGGGGGGGTCATACCATTGGGGGTGGGCGGGGGGGCCTGCGACGCGGCGACGCGGCACCATATATATACAAGCGTTCATAGTAAATACGCAGCATGTATGTAAGTCTTGCTTTAGTCATGTGTCCATGTGTATCCTGATCATTCTTACCGGTGCTTCCACACATGTACATGTGCGCAATGCTGCCGACATTCCCAAAGACAGATAGGCAGGCATGTAAACATATACATATAGAGATGTATCTACACATTGAGTGCTAAAGTTCACAAAAAAGTATAGAAAAGCTTAGTCAATGTACTATATGGCTTCATGCAATACTACATTTTATGTGTATGACAGCGATGATTCTACATTATACATTTACATTATGAGTTATTCGCGGGCGTGTGTGTTTTTGTGTTTGCCGACAGATTCTCCTAGTATTGGCCGCATAAAGGAACATAATACACAACACTGCTATATGTACATACATATATACGATATATGACAAAAAATGCGCATGTGCAAACATGTGCAGCGCTGCCAATGTTCGCCACAGGTAAACAAGCATACACATAGATACATACACACTTTATCACTTCTTTTAGGCTCAAAACATATACACGCTACACAGTTACGTCATGGCTTTACATGCAGATCGGTTGATGCCTCGCTGTATAGATCCTTGTGGATTCCATATTTGTTGACGATGAGTTTCCATTGAGTGGTGTCTGCACCGACATCATCCACCAGTTTTAGCTGCTTTGGAAATATTTGCTACCACAGCAGAAGACTACATGCATGAACATAGCCAAATGAGTTGTCCTATCTTACCGTTGATTATTGCTGCTGATGCATTACAAGCACATGATGAATAAGAAGGTATCCTCATATGTCCGTAAAGTAGAAAACAACAAATATGCCATACTAACACGATACAATAGAAAAAAAACATTTTCGATAAACACAGCAGGTCTTGCGATCTTACTACTCTCGCGTTCGCAGGATTATGACAACACATCTTCGAGTCAAGAAAGAAGCTTCTTTGCTGCCGGCGCAACAAAATGTCCAAGGTTGTCTGCACCATCAAGGGTTGAGACTTCACTGCTTCCCTGCAAGGAAACATCAATCCATCCCAGCACTCGGATGTTCTCCGCGTTCTGTCTCTGAGAGGTATACTTATACATACACACATAACTTGGGAGAGAGAGAGAGAGAGGGTTTCAAAGAGAGCGTCCAGAGATTCCGAACGACTCGGTGCCTCCGCAGCTGAGCGAATGCCGTCAAATTTCTACTCATAGAACCGCTTCACGGACAAAGTCGACATGCTATATCCTGTCAGACGGCACCTGGAGTGCTGGCAATGCCTTGTGGTGTCAATGAGCCCAAGCCTTCGCGGCGGCCTGGACGGTGACTGGTCGCCAGGGCCAGAGGCATCCTTCAACGAAGGCGAGCTTGCAATAGCAATAGCAGTATAGTAATCATAATAATCGTAACAATAAGTAAAAGTAATAATAATAATGATAAAAATTATAATAACAATAATAATAACAATAATCGCGATAATAGTATAGAAGCTGCGGTGACGAAGAGCCACGTCCTCGCGTGTGCCGTCACGAAGGTCGAGCTCGCTTTGTGCGAGAGACAGCCGCGACAGCTCCTTAACGGTGCCCAGCAAATGTGGACACACCGGTTGAAAATGAGAGCATGGCAACGGGCAACCTTCTCGTGATGATTTCTGTGGATACGGGAGTTGGCTCCAGAATTCCGGCTATGCTGCATACGCCTAAAACACCCATGCTATCTCAACATTCTCGAGCATGTCGCTTCAGCTCTGTTCCCACTCGGGCCCGTACTGCAGATAGTTGCTGGTGAACGTCCCGAGCCTCTGCCGCAGCTGCCTGAGCTTACACTTAGACTTAGACGTAAATGAGCTGCACGCGCGCTGCTCTTGTCCTGTAGCCGGCTGCTGCACTACTACAGAGCTGCGACAGTACCGCAGAACCCCGCAGCCTGCAGGCAGAACAGAGGTTAATCCAACGAATAACATATTGCTCTTGAGGTGAGGTTTACAGGTTGCACCTAAGCCTTGACAGCCCCAAACGCAAAAACCCTGCCGCAGCCTCCAAAGGCACGCCGCCCTCTGCGAGGCTGCGGAGCTCTGCCGAGACCCGCCGCACCTCCTGGGCCTCAGGCAACCCCAGCGCTTTGCGACTCAGGGTTGCGTATCTAGGTTTCGGAATACAGGGGTCAAGACTTCCGCTTTAGGCTTGGCGTGGTCGAGGGTCGGGGGCTCGAGGGCATACACAAACAAGGAGTCTCGGTCTGGTGCCATTGAGAAGAGGGTGAAGAGATCCACTGTCTGCTGCGCATGCCGCCGACCTCAATCATGTTGATGGCTTTGTTGTTTAAGATACAGGGTTGCTCACCAATAACACTGTGTTAGCCATTGCTAGTTGCGCCCTCTCTTGTCTGATTGTTACCGTCACGAGGAAATTCGCTGAGGCATTTCTTGCGAATTGCTGAAACTTGCCCGGCACAGCCACGAAAGCAACGTACTAGCCGGTCTACTGCATGCTGACTGCTTGATTGAGTGTGGCGGCAAAGATCCGACGAGGAGTGGACTGACCTTGCATCAGGTGTCACGGCTCACACTGACACGAAGCAACTGCAGGCTTAGCAGCAGCATTTTGCAGCACTGCATCACGAAAATTACTGATGTCCAAAAGTGGACGGCAACACTTTAGCGACTCATCTTTCGCGACGAATGGATTCGCTGCAAAATCTACAAACTCGGGAACTCTGCAGATCTGCGAATTTGCACTTTGATGGCAGCAGTCTGACTCCGCCCTGCCTGGCTTTTGAAGATCGCGTGCTGCTAGCCTTCGAACACTGACTGCTAGGGCGACAGGCTTGACAGCGGTCGACGGTTTAGGGCTAGGGTTTAGTTCGGCTGAACAACTAGTTAGTTCCACCAAGTCAGAGTGCTTTTTGCAGCGACAATGGTTGCCTGACTTCTGTCAGTGAAGGCTCGCGGTCGGGATCTGTCACTGCTTCCGTCAGAACAACCGCCTGTGATCCCACGGTATAGTTACCTACACCTACTGTGCTAAAGCACAGCTCCTCAGATCGCATGTTACACCGAAAACTTCAAGTACAATGCCTCGGAAACTGAGCGGATGGAGGCAGGCATGGCCCAGGACACCAAAAGGCTGCAGGGTTTTGCGGAGTCTTACGAGACAGGAATGTAGGGAAAAGGTGATTGGATTGAGGAAGCTGTCTGGGCGGCATTTTCCTTGAGAACATGCTCAAAAATGGTGCTCTTGGTCCTTGGGGAAGATTTGTCCACTGCTGCGGAGAGTGGAATTGCAAAAAGCTGCGGTACATCGAAAAGGCCATGGGCTCATGGACATGACAACACACTGAAGCAGGCTGCCACGGCTGCTGAAAGGCTACAGATGCACTGCCGCGTTCAGAGAATCGCCTTGGATCAGCTCACTTCTTCTTCTTCGGGTTCTTGGACCTCCGCTTCTGACGCGGGTGTAGGTGGGGTGGGTACATGAATGCGGGTGGGGGTGCAAGGGTGCGTGCGCGCATACTACCCCAGAAACAACGACACCGAATGCTTCCATGGGCTTCTGCAAATCCTGTTCCGAGACTCTTTCTGAGAAATCTGTCTTCAGCCATACACAATGGAAACACTAAGCCATTGGGAGTTAGTCATGACAGAATAAGCAAGACGAGAGGCAGGAACAAGTCCACGTTCATATTCTTGAACCCTGCACACCCACAGCGACAGAAACAAACCAAGCAATACTCATGCATGAGCTAAACAGCACGTTTTCGAAACGTACACGATTCATAGCTGGCCAAGCTGTACCAGATGTGTTCGGGACCAGAAAGGTCACATTTCAGAGCATAGCTGTTCTGTCTGTTCAGGAGGCGAGAAAACCATCTGAAAGACTTGATGGCACGTGATATCGTATCTGTGTCCAGCGTATGCAGGATATATATATATATATATTCACAAACGCATTCATAGAAACCTACATACCTACATATATACATACTCCACCACCAGCCCACACACCAGCGGGCGCATCGCGACCACACGGAAGAGCCTGCAGGCTCTGAGTTTGAAGGCCCCACCCCGAAACTCCATAAACCAACGTAACGGCGTGCAGGACGAGCGCACATGGAGCTGCCAGGCCGGAAAAGTGTGGCTCTGCAAGGACTGTGGAGACTAAGAGCGATGTCAGCTAACATACTTGCAGGGCTGTGGCGAGAGCACGATTTCACCTCAAAATGTGCACGGCATTGCGACAAATGCAGAAGTTGCGATTCTGATTTCTTCGACTTGTCTTTGGCGGGAGCGACCGGTGCCAGACCGCAGCGAGAACTTGACTTTGGTCGAAGCTGTGCAGAGCTCCTGTCAACCTGCCTCGCGGACAAAGCGATCCACTCAGCGCAACTGCCCGTGCAAGAAGATTTATCCAGTCATAGACGATCATATGAAACTGTGTAACGGGAAGCCCCGCACAACCGCAGCATCTGGCCGGACATTCCTGCCGCAAACCAACGTGAAATCTGTCGAGGAACTTCTTTTTCGAGTTCAGCGAGCTGTTGCGCAACAGCCTCAGCGCTGCGCGGCTACATGCGCCACAACGCTGCAAAGCATGTCGGGCTCGTAACTGTCGCCAAGGGGCTCGAGTGCCAGGGACACCAACTCCCGCTTCTCAATGCACCTTCGCATCTGTTCACGTTCGAATACCCGCTGAAATTTCGTTGCATTGTTCTTGGATGAGTGCTGGTGTTGAAGCCGAATCTAGCAGTGCTTGGTACGATACCAAGCAACAGACCACCCCCTGCCAATCCCCATCTTTACAGTAGCAGTGTGGGTGGCTGCGGAAAGGCAAGGTGCGAACCCTGAAAACTGTGCATACTGCATACCCTAATGGGGCTACCCTGCTGTTACTGTTGCTGTCTTTACTGCAGCTACGATTTCTATAACTAACCAGTGGTTTTGGGGTTCCCTTGATGCTTTAGCTCCTTATTTAGTAGGGATCATCATCACCCCTGGCTCCTTAGGTCCTTCCATATCAACAGTTAGATAATCATTGTCTCTACATGTTGCTATGATGTTACACTGTTTTCACGCTAACCTCTTCATTCCAACTTGTATTTAGTACTATCCCTTCACACGATTTCCTTGCCACGACACCGGGCGATGATGGACGGCTCAGCTCCAAGATACCTGACCTGGCTACGCGTTTAGAGCTTTGGAAGTTTGTTGCTTTAGGTTGAGGTTGAAGGGTGTCCGGTTTAAGAATTTACAACAAAGGCTTTCAAAACCAGAACTTGCTCCGTCTTTCATCTCGTTCTGAACCTCTTTCTCACACCAATGCACACAAGGCATACGAGTTCCGAGTCTCACGACCATGAACAACTCATAATCCATACGCTAACTAAGTCTAGGTTAGAGTCCAGTAGAAATGCTTGATGCCCCCAAGTAATTAACACCAAGCTCTTAGGAAAGCCAAGCCAAAGCTTTCCTGAAGCAACCACGTTAAACAAGGTCCAGAGGATTGCAGCCGCACTGCGGCTTTGCAGCCACCTGCAAAAACCCTTACTCGCGCCTTTGCTCTCAAGACGGAGACGGAAAGGCTTTCCAGCCTTTTCCAGGGCAGGATGCGGCGGGGCGCAGTAAATCCAGTATCGGCATCAGCTGTCGCAAGGGGTGCGCAGGAGCTTCGGGCTAGTATACTGTAGTTCAGGGGAGGAGAGCTGACGTCCGCAACATGCCATACAGAATGCCATGCTGCGCGAGTATATAGTGAACCGGAAAGCTTCGTGTATTCTGGGACCCACGATAGTTAGTAGCATTGCCGGCAGTTTGGACTGGAAAGTGCCAACGTGTAAGGCCCATGGGCAAGTTCCAGATCAACGAATAGATGCAGCTGCGCGTCTGTTTGTACAAGTGTCCAGATGTGAATCCATCCTCAAGACCAAAGACCTCTTACCTCTTCATCCATATGGCAAAGCCTGCAGCAGGTAAGGACCTTGTAACTGTGGTCTCAGAAGAACGTCCCCGCGCTCAAGCCCTCTGCACCCCATCTCGGCAATGATTTTGTTTGAGTCTGTGGCTGCTGCTCAGCAGTGGAGGCCTTACAGCAGGATGATGGCAAAGGGAGAGGCGATGAGACATCTCAGTGAAGGATTCCGGCTTTGGATTTTTTCATACCGTGAAATCCCTCTTTGTTGTCGTCCTCGCTTGGGGACAATTACGGCCCGTTACCAGTGATGCCCCTCCATGCTTTACAGCGTTGGGGTGGTGTCGGATGGTCTCCAGATGTGGCCTTGATCGTCCAGTCCACTTCCCTTTTATCGGTTGTTTAAGGTCTACGCAGCTGTCTTAGTGGCGTCGTCGTCGCGATGATGGTGTGGTGGTGATGCTGGCAGTGGCTGCACTACTTGAAACACAACCGCCAAAGAACGTGCTAGGAGTCACAGCCACAAAATCGGCAATAAAAAGGCAATTTCCAGTCGCAGTCAAGGCCGTACTACTCTCAGTAGCCGGACTCGGAATACCCTTTCTGGTTTCGGGCTGCGACTGACATCTTCTACTCACAACTCAGGACCCTGCCGACTTCGCCGAACTGAGAGAGTAGCTTGAACTGGACGCCTTCGTCTCAAAGAGAAAACGGCCATGAGCTTTGGGATCTGATGATTTTTCGATGCTCGCCACTGACGCCTTTAACTTTCAATGCTCTTGGAGCTCAGCTGAGGGTTTTCGGTCACTGCAAGCTCCAGTCTTCTTTGGCGCCGTTTGGGGCACTTTGGCTCATCTTGAACCACAGTACCTACTGAAGACATTTGAAGAGACCGTGTGGGGCCTGATCACTTTGGGGTACGTGCTCGCAGGTCTCTCCGCCATCCTCTAGCCGCTGGTCGCTGCTGGATGGCACGATGGCATTTTGAGCACTGCACTTGGTAGTTCCGGTTCGTGACTCGCTGAATTCGGCTGGACCTGCGATGATGTCTGAACGAGGGAACCATCTTGGAACCACGCCCTCGGCTTCTTCTTGCTTTCGGAGGCATCGGCTTTGTCCTGCGGCGGGGCTCAGGCCTACAGCTGCAGCTCGCCTCGGATCAAACCCGCAGCACTCCGCGGGCTTAGGCTCCATGGCTCCCACGTTTGCCCGCGGAAGGCGTCCTAGATCCCAACCGCACAAGTCTTTTGTAGCAGCCTCCTTCCCGAAAGGTTACAGTAAAATGAAGCCAAGGCTTGTTCTGTCTGCAGACTTAAAGTCAAGGGGTCGTTTCTGGTAGGCCCTGAAGCCATAGATGTAGACCAGCATGGCCTGAAAAAGCAACACTTGCAATCCCACACGCTGCACTCCCGTCTGTAGATTAAGTTCCAGACATCCCTAACATGCAGGAACAATCTCTGTAACACCAGGCACTAGAATGGCAACCAAACCTGTGAAGATCAGAGTTTTGCCCACCTCCACCGATCCAACTAGAGGCGCAGTTGCACTGCCTGCCTCGCGGAGGCAAAGGCGCTCGGCCCGGAACTCCACTGATGGATCTTTGCAACTTCAAGCGAGATGGCTGGTAGCCGAGGATCTTTCATTTCTTCTGTAGATGACTTCAGTCGGTCGCGGTAACCTAGCAAACTCTGTGGTGATGCTCTGGCTGGCGGGTGTGCCGTCACGCACAACAACCAATCACAAGTCTTCTAAGGCAAACAAAGAAATCACCGATAGTTTGCGGCAGTCCAAAACTTGCTAAATTCAGCATATTGCCTTGCCTGGACGAAAACACACTTTTTCGTAATGCCCCCCGAGCAGTAATGATCACACACGGTCCTAGTCAGTATGTTCACCAGCATCTCAGACTAGCAACCTTACCCAAACAGCTGGCAGCCCCCGAACCAGGAAGGTGCACGAAGTCTGAGCAATTCTATCGACCATGAGGCCAGGAACGGCTGGCCAGTCAAAGTTTGCATGCCACTTCTTTCCAAGGGACCTTGGCGTCGCTCTTTCTGGGCTTTGACGACCCAGGTGGCCGACCCCTGCGCAGGCAGTCGAACTCGAGACAAGGCATGTTCCATTCTACCACCTGGCAGAAACATGGTGACAGTCACTTGCGTATGTTCTTAAGATAACAACTACAAATGATGACACATCTGCTATGAAGAGATGACTAGGGTTGTCATCAACGCTCCCACTGCTGCTCATTTTGCAAACAGGCCTTCTCGAAGCTTGTCATTTGTCCGCAACACGAACCAGCTCCAAGCCAATGTCTTCGACTGCTCATAGCCTAAACTGCCTTGGACAAGTCTACTCAAATTCCATTCCTTCAAGTCAAGCAAAGAATCTCCCGCTCCATCTGCCGCTTGCAGAGGTCTTCAGCTCAGGCTTCGCAGACGCATAAGCTTGTTGCATAAGTGCACAGCTGCTCCTGGGGAGGAGAGACGCGGGTCGCTTGCAAAGGCTGGTACATCAACAAAAGCAATATGTTGCATTGCAGGCCTTATACAACAGATACACTGGCACAGCCTAACCATCGGCAGCCAGATCTGCAATCTCTTCATCAATGCTTGATACATTCCGGAGTCCCGGCGGTATCATTGTACGAACCAGACACTGTGGCCGCAGTACCTAGCCTCTGCATGCTTCCTGGCAGGCTGAGCGACCTACAGAGACAAAGCTGAGGCGTGCATCGCGAGGGAGGCCCCTTGTTCCCAGCGCAAAAGACATAGATCAGGCAAGCCGGGGTTTCGTTCTGCAATTGCTGCAAGAACAGGACTACTACCTGTAACAACTGACTAACACGATGACAACGGCGACGACGACCACTAACACGACCACGATCACTCCCGCCTTTTGCTACAACTACACCTACCACCATGACTGCCATTCAAAGGTAGCCCCGCCACAACCACTACGATTCATGCTGAGATAATGTTCTTCCTGCTCGTAAACAATGCATTATCAGGCACAACCGCTGCCGCTACGACTATGACTACACCAACTGCGACTGCGACCAGGCGACATTCATTACTACCACGGTAAGCTGCCACCACTACTACTTACCACTTACTACTTCTACTGCTACGATTCTACTACCATACAATACGGTCCTCCCTGGCTCGGACTGCCACCTCCACTCACGAGCACACTCTCACCCTCTCTTCAAGCAACGGACGGCAGCGCACCGTCCGGGTCCAGGCTTCGAAGCTGTAACACCCTGTGTAAGTCTCAACACTTTAGGATTTGAAGTTATCTTAAGGTGTTAGGGCGTGAGAATCTGGGCTTGTTGGCTCGTGGGTTAGGACTCATTGAGTTGCGAGGACTATTCGGAGAGCTTCACATCTTCGGGCGCATGTAACCACAAAATGTGGGCTGAGGGTTTCAGGTGTTGGGCTCTCAGGGTTTGTTGAATGAGGTCTTCAGTGAGTTAGTGAGGCAAAGGCTTTCTGGTACAGTCCAGGCCACCGGCTGAAATTTTAGAGCTCCGTGCTTCTACCCCAAATCTTCAAACATAGGTAGTTAATGGTAGTGGGTTTACGACCTGAAGTGGCTTCAGGCTCGTAATGCTTCGAAGGACTGGGTCCTTCCCAAGGCACAGAAGGGCGACACGATTTGCTTCCTCCACCGTTTCAGCCAGTTCGTGTCGGATTTTCTCGACTTCTGTGCCTCGAGCGCCTTGATCTGCGGATTTCATGGTACATTGTCCTTCAAATTTCACCTGCGACGGCCGGCGAGTGGGTTCGAACCGCTTGCCTGAAGGCAGACGGCTCATGAGATCGCACAGCCCCTCGTTGGCAGGCAGACAGGGCAGGGAACGATCGTTTCATCCAAGGAAACTGAATAACTTGCAATCCCAACAAGAGAAGCGTATAGAGTGGTTTGGAAAGATCTGAAGAGTTAGGACTACACAACCCTGGGTCAATGACTGCACCTATACCCGCAGTCAAAACTATACAGACACCTTGCTGCGATGACACGTTCAACCCTGGACGTGGGTGGAAATCAGCGCGCAATATAATACCAGACTGAAGAGTTTGAATTGTCTGCACGATTCGTCCGCAGACGTTCCCTGCGAGTGCATCGTTGCAGCTTGACTGCAATCTCAGTCGCTGATGTATGTCAGCACATAAAGCTCGTCGGTGACTGGGGGATCGGCAGCAGACCCACATGGAACCACTCTTTTCACTTCACTTGTCGTTGTGTATCAAGCGACTGCTTGTTGCTGCCACGGTAGCGAGGCACAAATCAGCGGATGTAGTGCTGAGTGGAAAACCGTGACTGTCCGGCACTCTACATTCTACAGGTACTGGACTTGTACTGCTTCACAGAAAAATGCACCAACCAACGCCTGTGTCTTGCTTCGAAGCTTGTCAACATCAAGAGTGAGTCAAGGGACATGCACGCGTTCCCCCAATCGCATGCGATTCATGGAGAATTTCATCTCGATGCCTTCCAGGCAAGAAAGTATGGTGAAGCCTCATCCATTGGACGAGTGTGAAAAGACTGTTTAATTGTTTAGAGACTCTCGCTGGCGATCCCCTTAACGCATGTGACTTGCACGTACAGGCATCAATGTTCAGAGGCTTTAGGTCACTGTAGGTCTTGACAGGAGTGCCGTGAGAAGAACTCAT